AGAAATTCTAAGTATATGAAGCAAACACTGACATAATTGAAGGGAGAAATGGGCAAATCTACAACAGTAGTAGAAAACTTTAATACCGCAGTTTCAATAATGGATAGCCGGACCAAAGCTCAATAAGGAAATAGTAAGCATGAATGATACTGTAGACCAACTGCACATAACAGATATATATAGAATACTCCACACAACAGGAGTAGAATACACTTATTTCTCATGTGTACATGGAAAATTCTCCAGGATAGATCACATGTTAGGCTATAAAACCAGTCTTAAATTTTTTTAAAGATTGAAACCATGCAAAGTATCTTTTCCAATCACAAAGGAATAAAATTAGAAATCAATAGTAGAAGAAAGAGAAAAACTGGAAAATCCACCAATATATGGAAATTGAACAAAACATTCTTAAACAACCAATGGGTCAAAAAAAGAATCAAAAGTGAAATGAGAAAATATCTTGAGACAAATGAAAATGTAAATGCAACATACCAAAACATATGGAATGCAGCAAAAGCAGTGCCAAGGGGGAGGTTTATAGGTGTAAACACTTACACTAAAAAAGAATGAAGGTCTCAAATCAACAACCTATATTTTCTTCTTAAAATACTAGAAAATGAAGATCAAACTAAACCTCAAGCTAGAAGAAGCGAGGAAATAAGAGCAAAAATCAATGAGATAGAGAATACAAAAACAATAGAAAAAAATGAAATGAAGACTTTTTAAAAAAAAAAAAGATAAAATTGACAAACCCTAAGACAGACTAAGAAAATAAAGAGTGAAGACAAAAAATCAGAAATGAAGAGGGGACATTACAAATGATACCAAAGAAATTAAAAGGACTATAATATACTATGAACAATTGTACAAAACAAGCTGGATGATCTAGAAAAATAGATAAATTCCTAGAAACACACAACCTACTGAATCATGAAGAACTAGAAAATCTGATCAGACCTGTAACTAGTAAGGAGATTGAATCAGTAATCAAAAACCTCTGAAGGAAGAAAAAAAAGAAAAACAGAACCACATGGCTTCACTGGTGAACGCTAGCAAACATTTAAAGAAGGCTTAAGACAAATTCTCCATGAACTTCCAAAAAATGAAGAGGAGAGAACACTCTCAAACTTATTCTATGAGGCCAACATTAACTTGATATAAAAGGCAGACAAAAGCACCACAAGAGAGCTGCAGACCAATATCCCTGATGAATACAGATGCAATAATCCTCAGCAAGATATTAGCAAACTGAATTCAACAGTACATTAAAACGATTATACACTAGACCAAGTGGGACTCATTCCTGGAATGAAAGGATGGTTTAACATTCATAAATTGAATCTAAATTAAAATAATGTAGGGAGGAAAAACATGTGATCATCTTAATGCAGAAAAACCATTTGACAAACTTCAACACCTTTTCATGATAAAAAAAAAAAAAGGCCAACAACAACAAAGTAGGAATAGAAGGAAACTACCTCAACATAATAACAGTGATATATGAAAAACCCACGGTGAACATCATACTCAACGATGAAAGACTGAAAGTTTTTCCCTCTAAGATCAGGAACAAGACAAGGATTCCCACTTTCACCACTTCTATTCAACATGGTACTAGAAGCTCTAGCCAGAGCAATTAGGTAAGCAAAATAAATAAAATTAATCCAAATTGGAAAGAAAGAAATAAAATTATCTCTGTTGGAAAATGATAAGATCTTATATGTAAGGAACCCTAAAGATTCCACAAAAAGATCTGTTAGAGCTAATACATGAATTCAGCAAAGTAGCAGGATACAAAGTCAACACACAACAATCTGTTGCATTTCTATACAGTAACAATGAACAATCTGAAAAGAAAATTATGGAAACATTCAGTTTACAGTGGCATCAAAAAGAATAAAATACTTAGGAATAAACTTTATCAAGCAGGTGAAAGACTGTACAGTGAAAACTAAAAAAACCTTGTTGAAATAAAGAAGACATAAATAACTGGAAACATATCCAATGTTCATTGATTGAAAGATCTAATATTTTTAAAATGTCAATAATGCCCAAAGCAATCGACAGATTCGATTCAATCCCTATCAGTATGCCAATGACATTTGGGGTTTTTTTTGCAGAAAATAAGAAAACCTATCCTAAAATCCAATGGCAGTTAAGGGACCCCAATAGGTAATGCAATCTTGAAAAAGAACAGAGCTAGAGGATTCACACTTCCTGGTTTCAAAACTTACTGAAAATCTACAGTAATCAGAACAGTATAGTACTGGCATAAAGACAGACACATACACTGATGGATTAAAATAGAGAGCCCAGAAATAGACTCTTGCATATATAGTCAAATGATTTTTGACAAGGGTGCCAAGACCATTCAATGGGGAAAGGACAGTCTTTCCAACAAATGATGCTAGGAAAACTGGATATCCTCATGCAAAAGAATGAAGTTGGACCCTTACTGAACACCATATACAAAAGTTAACTCAAAATGGACCTAAGACCTAAGTGTAAGACCTAAAACTATAAAACTCTTAGGAGAAAACATCTAGGGTGAAATCTTCTTGTCGTTGAACTTGGTAATTATTTATTCACTATGGTACAAAAGTTGTAAGCAACAAAAGACAATATAGACAAACTGGACTTTAGGTAAATCTTTAAAAATTTGTGTATCAAATGATAATATCAACAAAGTAAACTGGCAATCCACAGAATGGAAGAGAATATTTGCAAATCATACATCTAAAGAATTAATATCCAAAATATATTAAAAAATTCCTAAAACTCAACAACAACACAAACCACGTGATTCAAATATGAGCAAAGGAGTTGAATAGATTATTTCTCCAAAGAAGATATACAAATGGCCAAGAAATTCATGAAAAGGTGCTCAGTATCACTGATCACTAGGGACATGCAAATCAAAACTATGATGAGATACTATCTCACACCTATTAGAATGGCCTACTATCAAAAAAAAAACAAAAACAAAAAACAGAAGACAGCAGATGTTGATGAGGATGTAGAGAAGCTGAAAACCTTCTGTGCTGTTGTAGGGA